ACTGAGCACACCTTAGCTAAAATTAAAAGTTGATAGTCTTAATTTTCTTCTAAATGATCTTGTTTCCCAGACAAAATTTCCCAGGCTCACCCAGCTTTAATCTCAGTACAATAAGCTAGCTTGTTTTATACTACATTTCTTCTACAGGGCAGCAATTCAACCATTTTATCACAGCTAAAAACTGAATCATTTTAAATCAGATTTTTTATCAGTCTGAAAAAAAAGGATAGTAAAAAGAAAAAGTTTAGGAATATTCAACAGCTTTTCAGAACTTTGTTGAGGTGTAACCTAATCCTAAATCTATGTATTCCTTTGTTAGACCTAATAGCTTCTTAGCCCTGCTGAGGTTCTCAAGCTAATTGCTCCAGAGAAAAGATCTTATTTCAACATTCTTAATAAAAAGAAGATTTTTTTTAGATTTACTGAACACTGTCTTTGGAGTGATAGGTAGCATGAACGGGAATTAACTGTGCTATTCTAGCTTTCTATGTATGTAGAACTGGCCCTAATCTGAGTTGAGGTCACAGTCTTTTCTGGGTCTTATAGATATTAGACCATCTACAATAATTCATCAAAATCTTTGCTACAATTTGTAGTCTTTGATAAAGTTTCATGACAAGAACAGCAAAACTTAACTTGTGAAGTCTAAACTACTTTGACAATGCCTAGTGCTATTATTTATTTACTGTAGTGAATGTTAAACAAACTCCTGAAATGTTTATTAAATAGTATGTGAATCTGCAGACTAGACCACACAGAACTCCTTGGCACAGGTGATTCTGCAATTGTAATCCAATGTGAGTGTTCCCAATGTTCACTGACCCCCACATTTACACTTCACCTATGTGGTGTGTATTTAGGGTGCAAGATTACAAAATGTGTGCAAGAATACTAGATAGCTCAAGGAATTTTTTATGTCCGTTCTTTTGAATGATATGAGAGAAGGAGATTAACTTATTTCTACAACATTTTTGCGGTTTTGATTTCTTAATTTAACTCTGTCATCTGCAATGGATACCTATTCCTCTATTTTGCATCTTTTTTAATGTTTTTGTGTATATGTATGCATGTGCACATATTTCCAGTTCAGCTATTTCTCAATTTCCTTCTAAATAACTCATCTTTAATTATTTTTCTTCTGTGAACTGGTATTAACAATACATAATTTTTTTCATATTCTTAGATACAGGCAGTCCCCGACTTACGCGGATCCGACTTATGTCGGATCCGCACTTACGAACGGAGCTTTCTCGCCCCGGAAGTCGGGGCGAGAAAGCCCCGTTCGTAAGCTGCTCCGGTGCCCCTGGTCTGCTGGAGACCGTCTCCAGCAGACCAGGGGCACCGGGCGGGTTCCCGCGCTTCTGAGGCTTTGCCAGAGCAAAGCCTCAGAAGCGTGACACACCGCTGTGGCTCTGCTCCCCGTGTCCCTGGTCTGCTGGGGGGAGGGCGTGGCTAGT